TATTGAAATACAAGAGACCCAGAAGGACCATGAAGGCTTTGTAAAGGAAGAACAAAGTTCAGGGGTCAACACTATGTAATCTTAAGATTTGCTGTATAGCTACAATCCTCACGGTGCACTGCAAAGAGAGATCAATGAACCAGCAGAACCCGGAAGTCATCCGAATGTCTACAGACAACTAATTCCAGAAATTTAATGTGAGAGAATTGAGTGAAGATAGTCTTAAACAGCATGAGACTATTCACACTTTGCATCATTTATAAAATATCAACTCAAAATGAATCTTAGATTTAAATATAAACACTAAAACTGCAGAACTTGTACAAGAAAATGCAAGAAAAATTCACCATGACCTTGAATTAGGCAAAGATTGCCGAGATATGAGTTAGTTAGGCTTCATGAAAACTACATTTTCCTATCTTTGAAAAATGATGTTAAGAGAATAAAAGACAAACTACAAGCAGAAAATAAAAATAATATCATGTGTGCCGTGTACCTGGAGAATTACCTGACCTACACAATGGAAGACAGAAGACCTACTTCATTTCAAGGTTTCAGAAGATTCCTGTCCATCATGATGGGGAAGGTATCGCAGCCAATAGCCCAGTTCCTGGAGATAAGGGCACATGCAGAAGCTGTTTGCATCACAGGGACCAAGGAGTAGAGCTAGCAGCAGGAACCAGGGGTCATTTGTAGACTTCAGAGGCCACCCCTAGTGACCTAACCCACACCTACAGGTTACCTAGCTCCCTGCTGTAACAGGAAAAATAAATGTCCCAAAGACAGATATTGGAGTTCAAGCTTCAAACTGAAGATCAGAAAAGCAAAGCAGCCAAGCCACTAGTGTTACCTCTACCTCAGGCTGAAAGGGCCTGTCTTCACCAGCTCTCACCAAGCCTCAGACTGCTGCCTCTCCTCAGCATGGCTAGAGAAGCAATGCCTTCCTATCCTAAATAGGGATGGAGAATGAATGCCTCATACTGACTACTGAAGACCCTGCTCCTATCTTTTATACCTCCCTAGTGCTGGGATTAAAGGCATGTGATCCCAGGTGCTGAGATCACCTTTGTGTGAGCTGTTTCTTTTAGGACTGGATCAATTTTGTGTAGTCAGTATGGCCTTGAACCAACAGATTTCTGTCTACCTCTTAACCCTGAGTCCTGGGATTCAAGTTGTGTGCCACTACTGCCTGATCTCTATAGCTTGTGACTGACTTTGCTTTCTGAATCCTCAGGCAACCTTTAATAAAACATAAACAATATATCACCACACCTGCTACCAGCAGAAATGAGAAATGGGAGGCATTTCAGATTTAAACCATAACAGACATGAATCCAAAGTATTCTCAAAACTGAATAAACAAACAACCTAATTTTAAAATGGGCAAATGATGCAGTCACCTCACCAACAATATGCAGGTAGTGAACGAGCACATGGTCGTTTTCAGTAACACTAGTCGCCAGGGAAACAGAAATTAAAATTGCAATGAGTTGTCACTACACAGTTAAAAAAAAAAACAGCTGGTTTGTTTATGTGTATGTGTGTAATTTACTCATAATAATCAAAAATGATAGATACTGGTCAGCAAATTGGATGAACAAATTGTGAGATATTTATACAATGGAATGCTATTCAGCCATGAAAACTGAATAATTAATAAATACAACAACAGAAATAAAACAGAATAAATAGCTGAGTGAATGAAGACAGACAAAAAAGAATACACACTGAATGACTGCACTTAAATACAGCTCTAGAAAACACAGCTACTCTATAGTGACAGAGGCTAGCTCTTCAGCAGCCCTCTTGCTACCATGTCCTGGAAGTCACATCTAGAACATTGACTGGACATTGGAGTAACGTGTGTGTGTGTGTGTGTGTGTGTGTGTGTGTGTGTGTGTGTGTGTGTGTGTGCAATGAATGCTCTTAACTGCTGAACCATCTCTCCAGCCCCAAAGAGTGACTCATGTCTAATAACAGAATGATGTAAAATTATTCCAGTTTTGAGATTAAATTTATAAACAGATGGTAGGCTCCATATTGCTGGCTGATATGCATGCACTCCTCTCTCTCTCTCTCTCTCTCTCTCTCTCTCTCTCTCTCTCTCGCTCTCTCTCTCTCTCTCTCTCTCGCTCTCTCTCTCTCTCTCTCTCTCGCTCTCTCTCTCTCTCTCTCTCTCGCTCTCTCTCTCTCTCTCTCTCTCCCACGCACGCACGCACGCACGCACACACACACACACACACACACACACACACACCTGGTGAAATTAACAAAAATGTTCCAAAAATAGGCCCATATGTCGAGAAACTGAGTGAGGCCTCCAGCTAATAGCTAGTGAGAAAATGAAACCCTCAGTTCAACAGCTGTGAGAAACTTAAATTTTTCCCACCACTCATGGGTGCAGACTCCTCCAGCTGGGTCAATGCCCTGATCACAGCCTTTGAAGAAACGTTGATGCAAATCCTTCAGGCCACTTACCCTCACACTCTGGCCCCAGAAGAAATAGGAAGTAATAAATGTCTATTTTTTAAGACAATAATAAATGAGGTTACTTTTTATTCAACAACAAAAAAAATTAATACATGTATGGTAGGAGGTGATATGAAATGCAGGGAAATCACACATGGGCATGGGGAAATTTAGGGGCATAATGGAGGTGTTCATGACCTTGTATGATGTGGTGGCTTCACAGGTGTCTGTAAAGTTAAAGCATAGGCATGTGTATGCTTCACATGTATGCGGTCTATTGCTCAAAATTACTCCTTAGTAAAGATGGCCTATGAAAGAATGCTAGAAAATCAGAGATCAGATTAACAGTATTTACCAGTGGACTCAGCAGTATCAAGGGCATTGGCTGATGGTAACTATCAGTCTGAGACTTCAAAACCTGTGTGAGTATGGAGAAACAGGGATGGGCTAGTAGAATTTTAACACTAACAAGAATGATAGGGGAATTCATGGGAGAACGCAGCCCTGAAAATGCTGCTTTGATGAAACACTGGGAGCCAAAACCTTTTAGAATAGACCAGAAGAGGGGGAGGGGGAGAAAAAGAATAGATGAATGAATAGGTCAAAACAAAATGAAAGAATCGGGGACCCTACATTTGGTCCTCTTATCCATAGGAATTGGTTTCAGGACCTTCCTTGGGTACCAAAATCAATACAAAATAATGCCAGACTTACATATGCCCTGTGCCCATCCTCCAGCCCCTTACATATAGTCTCTAGATAGACAATTACTGGCTATGCATACAGTCTCATATTGTATTTCCTAAGGAACCTGACAACAGAAAAATTCTATGTATGTTAGATACAGCCAAATTTTGTCAATGTTTCTTTCTTTTTCCACTTTTGTGTGTGTCATACACTTGTGTGCATGTTTGCATGGGTGTGCACACAGGCATTGTACACACATGTGTACAATGTGTTCCCACATCCTGTGGAGGCCCAAGGTTGATGTCAGAGTGGATGATCACTCTTCTACATCATTCACCGAACCAGGGTCTCTCAGTCAAAACCAGAGCTTGCCAATCAAGGTAGTGTTTTTAGCCAGCTTGCTCTATGGGACTTCCTGTTTCCATCTTCAGAGGCTAGAATTAGAGGCAGGCCACCAAGCCCACCTGACGTTTACCGGGATCTGAGGATCTGACCTCAGGTCCTCATGCTTGCATGGCAAACTCTTTAAACACTGGGAAATCTCTGCAGCCTTCAAATATAATATGTATTCATCTTCGGTTGGTTAAACCAGTGGATAAACTGCATAAACAGCTCTTTTGAGAAGTTTTGTTGCAGGGGCAAGGAGGGAATTGTGATCTTAGCTGGAGGGAGTGTGAAGTCAAGGAAACAGGCTTTAGAGATAGGGATCAATAAGGCCTGTTTATACGCTGACGGGTCGGGGGTCTGATCGGTACAGAGGTTTCTGATGATACTGTACTATCTGGAGAACAGTTAATGAAAGAGACAAGCCCTCGTGTAGGCGAGACCCACTAGTCAGAACAGTGTGCACACGGTGGCCTGCGGCTTCCTGCCAGGCCACAGGAACATGACCCACAGGGCCAAGGCCTTTCCTTTAATTCTTGCAGGCAAGTGACTCATGCGTTGGGTCTGCGGAGGGTTGCTCGCTGCTAAGCTAATGAGTGAGTCATGGAGGGTTACTAAAATGTGCTGCTCATAAACTAAAATTGCCAGGACTCCAGCTGTGCCCTCTGCAAGGAATCTATCTGCCATACAGCACAGCACTTAGCAACATTGTAAACCACTGCTGAGGCTTCCGCTGGGAAGAAGGTCTTGTGGTCAGTCCTTCACCCTGGTCCCCTGACCTGGCTGGCCGCTGTTCTTCCTATTTGCACTGCAACAGTCTCTTTAAATTAGCTTTACCATTATCCTGTAGCATGTTGTAGGTTGCTAGATTAAAGTGGAAGTACTTCAGTGACCCAGATTTGCATAATGTTTACCTTCAAATTCTCCCATATTAGACCTCAAGGTCACGAGTTTCATGTCCAGATCCCCAGCACCCACATAAAAAAAAAAAAAACATGCATGAAGGTGTGTGTCTGCAATCCCAATGCTGGGAAGGTGGGAGAGTCCTGGAGCTTGCTGGCCTGCAGCTTAGCCTAATAGGGAAGTTCCAGGTTGGGTAAGAGACCCTGTCACAGGAAATAAAGTGAAAAAAGTTAGAGAAAGATACTTGGCACCAACCTCTGGCTCCACACATGTGTGCATGTGCACCTGCAAACAAACCACACAGACAGGAAATATATGTATTATGGAATGTATTATGTGCCGTATATACGTGTGTGTGTGTGTGTGTGTGTGTGTGTGTGTGTGTGTGTGTGTGTGTGTTCCTCAGGAGAAGCCTTTGTACCAGCACAGAGTTGACACCTCTCCAGTCACATCAGCAGCCAGTTTTTTTATATTCCAGTACGGTTCCGCTGCCCCTCCCCCACCGCATGCCCATAGCACCATCTTCTGCTCTCTGCCCTTAAGGAGAAGCCCCAGGAGTCTGTGGCTTTGCTGCTCCAGGATTAACATCCTGTTCTGGGCTTCAACTTTCTTTTTTCCTCCTCCCCTTTTCTCCTTTGGCTTCTCTCTCCATTCCCCAAGATTTACTGTTCTAAATATAACTTCCAACAGGTGTGCAGCCAGGACATGGAAACTGTGCCCAGCTGTCCCCCACACGTGGACACTCTCCAACTGGCCTGCTGAAATTCTAGGCTCCAGCACCCTCATCGGGTGAGGATGGCCCTCCCTAGGTCCTGAAAGTGAGGAGAGCAGCTTCTCTTTCCTGAGGTATGGGAGCGGGTGTGCAAGCTATTGGATCCGAGGGACCAGTTCATCCAGCAAGTAGGAGTTTTCCCACTTGTACCAAGTGGCTATTCTATATCCCTCCCTCTCCTACTCCCCACTCCCTCCCTTTCTTTCTCTGTTTCTGTCTGTGTGTGGGGTGTGTGTGTGTGTGTGTGTGTGTGTGTGTGTGTCCCAGAGTTCAGTATAAACACTCAATTAAAAAAGACACAAAGGGAGGTTGTGGGTAGGGGAGGAAGAGAGAAAAAGGAGCATTGGAGGAATAAAGGTCATACAGTTCTGCCCTCAGCAAACGTGACCCAACTGTGGGTGCTAAGGAACCACAGCAAACTGCAGTAAACATTGCCCTACTTGGTACAGGGAGGTTGGGGGGTAGGGAGCAGCCTCTGCTGCCTCGTGGAAATTCGGGCCCTTCACCATCCAGAATGCCGAGTTCAGTTAAAACCTCCTTAAGTTGCTTTCAGATTGTGTTTTGTTACAGCACCAAAAGAGTAGGCCCCTTTACTCTTCCTCCTAGGTGTGTATGTTTCCACCTAGGGAGGAAATTCTATCTGTAGAGACTTATCCATTAGCCTGTAGTCTTCATGGAATGAGACTGACATACGTGTCAGAGTATGACCCCTGCTCTGGAGATTAATAGAGGTCAATATGTGTCTAAATAAAGAGCAGGCTAGTCTTAGCAGTCTATGAACAAACTCGGAACTATGGAAAACTCGAAGCTCCAGCATCCAAGAAGGGGCCAGAAAATCTTCCTGGATACAACCCAAAGCCTCATGGGAGTAAGCAATCAAGTGAACTCAAGACAGAAGTGCTATGTTATCTGCATATCCCCAAGCTGCAGGCTTGGCCCCAATGGCACACCTGTGCACTAACCCACCCAAGCTACATCCAGCCTCCAGGCCTAGTCTGGGTCATACATCCTGGGCTCTGGTCCAGTCTGAGGCAGCCTAGAATCTCACACCTGGTACACACCAATGAAAGAAGTCTACATGCCTCCACCCCATCATAAATACACAAATAATATGAAAGGCCAAGTATGTGCCCCCCCAAAGAAAAAACCCACCAGTCCTATTGAAGTGTTCTGCAATATGAGCTACCTAGACGAATCCCAAGGACATATAACTTTTAAAAAATCATAAGCTTCATCAAAAATGTCAAGGAGTTTAAAGAAAACATGAACAAACAGCTCAATGAACTCAAAGAGAATAATAAGCACCTGAGTGGTACCCAAGAAAACACAGGCACATGGCTGACGGAAATGACAATCAGGGTCTTGGAAACCGGATTCAGTAAAGACATAGAAGTATTGAACAGAGTGTTAGGTCCCAGTGTGCGCCCAACAGTTGCCACCTGTTTCTGAAGAATTAAGTAGATTTGTTCAATATTGGTCATGGTTAGAATTTGAATACCAAGGGGTACTGGTCATTCATAGTAGAGAAATGCAAGTACAGATGAGAAGTTGGGGTGACCACAATAGGACTGTGTTTGTAGAAAACAGTTACACAAATTCTAGTCAACCCTGAAGGTATGCTCATGATTCATGGCTTGGTGACCCTGCTCGACTAGTGTTTTACTCATATTAAAATAGACTTCCTACTTTGGACTAACCACACTGGAGTCACAAGTGCTGCCTCTGTGACAGGGTAGTGTGGATATAGTTGTATGTTACTCCCGCAGTTAGCAGAAAGGAGAGGGGCTAGGTAGCACAAGCTCACGCCCATTCTTTTCCTCTCTGATGTTTCCCTCTTCAGAAACAAACACACGGCTTCATTACCAACAAGCCCAGAATAAATTAATACGAGCTGAACTCCGTGAAATTAGATGCACGTTTCTAATTAGCAGGAGGGTCCCCAGATACCAGGTGGTCTTTATCAGGGGTTCTCTTCTTCTCGAGAAGGGGGTGGCCATTTGTGATCTCAGAAAATTAAGCCCTCCCCTTCACAGTGTCTACAGAGGGGTTTCCAATGGAAGTGTAAATGTGAATTTCCTCTGGCCACCTGGAAGATCATTTTGAAGCTGTGAATCCTGAGCACACTCCTCATTAATTCCACCCCGTGATTGGGAGAGATTGTGTGATGCTGTGATTTCTGTTTTCAAAGGAGTCGTCTTTGATTAATAACATCTTCCGCTTAGTTGGCACCCTCCTCCAAGCAGTTCAAAGTGGTTTTGAGACTTTTGGTTTTTAATTCCCATATCCTAGGGAAACAGAGCCTGGGAGAGAATGCAGCTACCTTCTAAACAGACAAGTGAGAGAGACTTCGATTGTGGAGCCAGAGGCCAGGAAAGAGGGATCAAAGGGACCAGTGTGAAACAGCAGGCCAGTGACAGCCCCAGAGCATCCTGATTCCGATTTTAGTTTTTACCTCCAGTCTACCGACCATGCCAATTATTTTCCAAAACTCTGAAATCTTCAGACCAATGGGGCTTAAAGCAAGGGCTCAGGAGGCCTGACCCTGCCTCATCTAGAGGTTCACTAAGTAGCTTAGAAGAGCAAATGTTTGCTCAAAGAAGAGTGGTTCCTTGCCTGCAGCAGCTAGACACCCACCCACCACAGCTCACTCAAAAACATATCCAGTTATTGGAACTAGTGTGCTCCAGATATTGTTATGGGTAGGAGAGATATGGAAGTAAATAGAATGAGAAATAAATCCTTTACCATTCCAGAGACTATTCTAGTGAAAAATGTAAACAATAAACAAGGAGGAAAAGTAAAATAAGAATTTTGTATGTGCGTATGTATTTTCATGGATGCATGTACAGATATGCATACATCCTGTGTGTGTGTGTGTGTGTGTGTGTGTAGGTCAAAAGACAATCGAGGGTGTCATTGCAGGAGTGTGTGTGTGTGTGTGTGTGTGTGTGTGTGTGTGTGTGGGTCAAAAGACAATCGAGGGTGTCATTGCAGGAACTTAACTACAAAGCCCCCAGATATCCTCCGATCTCTGCCTCGATTTCCATATGGCTGGGATTACAAGTGTGTAACTGCTTTTTAATGTGTACTCTGGGGATAGCTCTCAGATCCCCTCACATTTACAAGGCAAGCACTTTAAAGGCTAAGCCATCTCTCTAGCCCCAAAATATATGTGATAAGGAATACCAGAAATCATGGACATATTTATCAAGGGCAATTATCAAGGATTGAAAATGTCAATACGAGACTGAGTTGTGGTAACCTGAGAGCGGTACCCCGAAAGAACCCTTGGAGGAACAGAAGGTCACAATGAATGGTGAAGAAGTAACAGGGAAAAAACATGGGCAGATGTTTGCCATTGTCTCTTTTGAATTAAATTCACTCTTCTTGGCCTCTGTTTAAAAAATTGTGAAACTATTCTTCAGAGGACTGTAGAAATTAAATTTAATTCATACGGGACTGTGGCGATGGCTCAGTAGTTAAGTGAACTGACTGTTCTTCTAGAGGACCAGAAATAGATCTCCAGCACCCACATAGCAGCTCACAACTATCTGTAACCAGTTTCAGGGGTGTCCAGAGGATCTGATATCCTCTTCTGGCGTTTGTAGGCACCACACACACACACACACACACACACACACACACACACACACACACACACACACACACACTAAAATCTTTTAAATAAATCTTTAAAAAGGAAAAAGAGGAAGATGACTCTGGAAGTATCAGAGAGACTAATGAGACTGCCTGTGCTTCACATAAAGAAAGTGATATCCAAAAAGGCCAGGGTCCCTGTGGAACAATTCTTGTTGCCCCACATAACCCAGAAACAGAGGTTGATGGAACTTCTTGGGCTGAGTTCCTATTGATCCAGAAACTGATGTATTGAAAAAAAAAATTACTTGACCTCAATACACTTAAACTATAATGGTGAGACAGAAATGGGATATGCCAAGGAACCAACTCCCCCACCCCTGTTTTAAAAGAAGGCAAGTGGGAGGAATCTCATCCTAGCTTTATTCTGCTGCTGTGACAAAACACTCTGACCAAAAGCAAGTTGGGGGGGTGCGGGGGCTTATTTGGATTATACTTCCAGGTCATGATCCATCCAAATAAAGTCAGGGATTCAAGTAAGAACTGAAGCAGAAAACATGAATGAACTCTGCTTGCCCTCTTGCTAGCATGCTGGCTTGTGCCCAGCTGACTTTTCTACAGAACCTGAGGTAGCTGACCTAGAGCATGGTGCTGCCCAAAATGGGCTGAGTCCTCCCACACCAACCATCCATAAGATAGTCTCTTATGGATGAGGCCACTGATATGAGAAATTCCTCCGTTTAGATCCCCTCTTCCCAGATGTGGTGGTTTGAATAAGAATGGCCCCAACAGGCTCGTATATGTGAATGCTTACTCACCAGAGAGTAGAGCTCTTTGATAGGAGTAGAAGGATTGGGAGGTGTGACCTTGTTTGAGGAAGTATGTCACTAGGGGTGAGCTTTGAGGTTTCTAAAAGCCCATATTAGGTCCAGTGTTTCTTTCTTTCTCCAGGCCTGTGGATAAGGATGTAGCTCTCTCAGCTATTGCTCCAGCATCATGCATGCCACCATGCTCCCTGCCATGATGATAATGGACCACACCTCTGAAACTGTAAGCAAACCCCCAATTAAATTCTTTCTTTTTTAAGGGTTGCCTTGGTCATGGAGTCTCTCCACCATGTAACAGTGATTATGACAGGAGATGATTCTAGGTTGTATCAAGATGGCCACAAAAAATTGTGAGACAGTGATTGAAATTTAGCTGGGTAGATATCTTCAGTCTCTTCAACTCCAGGAGCAAAAAGCATTACTTGACTGCACCCATTCTCTCCATGCTAGGAATGCTTTCCTGATACATTGGTCCTCTCTTTCTCTTGTTTATTGTTTTGTTTTGTTTTTGAGGCAGGCTCACTTTGAGTGGACATGGAACCCAGTATGTTGCCCAGGTTGTTCTTGAAATCATGATTCTTCTGCCTTTGCCTCCTGAGTGCTGCTGAGGGACTCCTGAGGGCCACCAAGTATGACCTGTGTTGTTCTTGATTCTTGGTCCCATACACTGCACTCTGGGATCCACCCCCTGGGACATCTTTCTTTCTAAAGATTAGTGGGTCAGATTTTCATCGGGTAGCTCAATCTCTGAATAATTCCTACCTAACTTGGAAGCCTGGGGTTCTCTTTTTATTTTACTATTTATAGCCCTTTTGAATCCAAACTATTGGGGGTTGTTGTTGTTGCTGGAAAATTTCTCTTTAAAATTCTGTAAGTTTCCCATAAATCTGATTTTGAGCCATTCCACAGCTACAAAGGCCACATTCATCACACTTTCCAAACTGGCCTTTTCTACTTTGAGAAGATGTGTGGGCTGTGTTAGAAGTCTATTCCTCCATCTGAAAGGACCTACAAGGTCCCACCTTAAGTCTTTCCACAGGGCAAAAAGAATGTCACTGCTTCAATACCCTTCCATCCTTTGCTCAGAGACTGCTTCTTATTTTGAGAATCTTTGGCTGGAAGACTGTCCTGGACTCGGTCTATGGCCTCCACCTTCTGTCTGCAAACTGAATAACTCCTGGACCTCCTCTCTTTTACAATGCTTATCTTGTGCAACAAAAAGAAGCCAACGGGCACATTCAACATTGGCCATGGGAATCACCTCAGCCAGGTTTGCAAAGAGTTCCCTGCCTACATTCTCTCCTCTCCTTAGCACTAGTTGTCTCTCCACAAGATAACACACTGCCCTCCCTGCATCCACCAGCAGCCATTTTCCCCTGCTGTCCTTCAGTCAACCACTAGCAGTCCCTGCACCATCCTTCCAGCCTCCAGCCATCACCCAGTCCCAAAGTCTGTCCACATGTTATGATAGTAGCACCTCTAGGCCTGTGTACACATTTCTATTTCAGCCTTGACACATTAAAAAAAAAAATCAACCTCCAAACTTAGGGCCCTGAACTCAGCAGTCTAGGTGTGCCTGCTCTGTTGGGAGATTTGTCTCCGTAACACATGGCTTCTGCTGAGTCACTCATGGACTGCCGAGTCACTCATGGACTGCTGAGTCACTCATGGACCCACAGCCAGCTGCTGCCTCAGCTGGGAGTGGAGGGACTGAGAGGGCCTCACTGACATGCTTAGCCCTGGGACAACTGACAGGGCTGGGGTGGGCTGTGCCCCACTCCCTCTGCGCAGGGTTTGTTCTCTTCCTAGGGACCTGCACAGCTCCTTTGGGAAGGAAAGCAGAGGCTGCAAAATTCCCTAAAGACGAGACTCAAAGCTTGCACGTTCCCCTTATCCCTTTAGCTGCATCTTACTTGCTTGAGTGAGTGGATTACAGCACAGCAGCAAACTATACAGGAGTGGGAATTGAAGTTCAGGGGATATGGGATGCTCCAGGCAAAGGGGGGTGTGACTCAGAGTAAGGGCTCAGTGGCTATGGCAAATGAGCAAATAAACATGTACTTTCCACACCAAATGAAGAGTCACTCATAAGGAGAGAGAGAGAGAGAGAGGGAGGGAGGGAGAGAGAGAGAGAGAGAGAGGGAGAAGAAGGGGGAGGGAGGGGGAGAGAGAGAGAGAGAGAGAGAGAGAGATCACAGCTCTTTCCTGGTATCATCACCATACCCTTACCCTAGGCCCCAGCATATACAGCCTTCCTTTGCCCATTCACATGGACATGGAAGAGCCAGAAAAGGCCATCAGAGCAGCCACAGTGGGCATCTCGAGTGTCAATATGACTGGGTTACCCTGGCTGGAAAGGACTCTCTTCTGAAGTCCAGAAACACAATACTTTCCCCATGGGGCCAAGACAGATGGCTGGGCAAGGGACAGAAAGGGGACAAGACGGTGGGCCAGACTTTCCCACTACCATATGGTCTCCTGCTCCCAGAAATGTCTTCCCAACCCCACAGTCAAAGGTGGGCAGAGTAGGAGGGCCCTGTCCCCACCCAGGTGGGAAGGTAGGCCTGGAGAGGGGGCCTGGGGCCTGGCATCCAGCTTTAGAGTCTGGCTGTCCCAGGCACCGAGGAAAGGGTACAGGGCAGAGGGTGGAGAAATAGGGAAGTTGACCTTTCCCCAGGGAAATTCTTAACAGAGCCTTCCCTTCCTGACCTGATGTCAGCGTTGGTGGTCAGGGTTGGGAGTGTCTCTGAGTCCCACACCTGCCATGTTTCCCCAGCCCATTAGAAAGGAATCCTATCCCCTTCCCAATCCTCAGGGTGTGCACACCGTCCCCAGCTCCTGCCCCAGCTGGAAACTGGGACTGCCCAGGCACAGCCTCATCCAAGCTACCTTCCCTCAGCTCCTCACTCTCACCCACCCCAGCCCTGCACAGCACCAGTCCCAAAGTACATAGCCATTCAGTCATGTGCCCTGAGTTAAGTCCATGCAGGAGAGCAGCTTGTGCCCAGCCCTGCCCTTGGGTCCTTGCAGACCTGGACAAAAGGTCATTTCCTCTTGACAAGCAGATGGATGTTTTTCCTCTCAGGAGAGGCTCTTTAAAGCCTGAGAAATATTGTCCCCTCCAGATCCAGAGCATCTCTGAGGGCAGGGACACTGTATCTGAGGTCTCCCTCTCTAGCCACCACCTCTTCCCTGGAATTTTCCATAAATCTTTGGGTGACAGAAAGGAAAGAACAGAGAGGGGGATGAGCAGATAGAAGTGCACATACACGAGCATCCTTGTGCCCTATACAAGCTCCCACACATCCCACTCCTACATGGCAGACATGCCAGGAGTGATTAACACTAGTACACACATGCTATAAGCATGTGAGCATGCACACACACACACACACACACACACACACACACACACACACACACACCAGCATGTGTATTAGTTACTTTTCTGTTGCTATGATAAGACACTGAAGGGTGTAATGATTTCACTAGACCCAAGACAAATGATAAATGGGTGTTTTATTGTGGAACAACTTACACAGAACAATAAAGAACCACTTGCTGCCTGTCTCTGCCCCTCCAATCCAATCTGCAACCCAAAAGAGAGAGCTCAAGAGGGAGATCATGACTCACAATTCCGTCCACACCTAAAGCCACACCCAAAGGGATGTGGCCACTGTTACAAGTTCACAGGCAAGATGCCGCTACAAGACACCATTGTTTGGCTGGAACCTCCAGCTCACTCCTGCTTGATCTGGAAAGCTCCATTCCTCTCTCTCCAAACCCCACCCTCTCAGAGAATCTCCAAGAAAGAAAAGGCACCAAAAAGCCCAGCCCTACATTCTTGGCTGTTGTGGCAGCTCCTCCCCTGAAGTTTCCAGTAGCCCAAGACCCCGCCTAAAGCAGTCAGTTTTTTTTTACCATACTTGGGCACAAACCTTGCTTGTGGAGAACATTATCACCCCCTCACCTACAGGGTACATAAGCTTCTTGCTGTAGTTTGGCCGAGTGACTTATCTACTCCGATCGCTGGGGCTGGAGGACTCACCTGGGAGTTGCTTTGCTCAAATAAAGCCGCTCTTTTTGCTTTTTCAATCCAGCTTGATCAGGCTTACTGCATTGGTGGAGAAACCTATTATCATGTTACACAGAAAACCTATTAAGCATGATCAAGGCAACCTATAAAAGAAAGTGTTTATTTGGAGCATACAGTTTCAGAGGGGTAGAGCTCAGGGCAGAATGAAGGTAGCAGCAGCAGGTCTCTGGAGCAACAGCTGAGAGCTCACACTGGGGATGACACAAGTCTTTTGAAGCTTCAAAGCCCACCCCCAGTGGCACAGCTCTTTCAATGAGGCCACACCTTCTAATCCCCACCAACTGGGGACCAGGCATTCAAACATATGAGTCTGTGGAGAACATTCTCATTCAAATCTCTGCATTCCACTCTTTGGTCCGCATAGGCTCATGACCATACCATAATGCAAAATGCATTTAGTCCAACTTTACAAGTCTTCATAGTCTTTCAGTTTCAACACTGTTTAAAAGTCTGAAGTTCAGAATCTCTTCTGAGACTTAACACAATCTCTACAAATCCCTGTAAAATCACAAGCAAATCAAATGCTTCCGACACACGATGGCACAGAATATACATTACCATTCCAAAGGGGGGAGAGAAGGGCATGATGAGGAAATACTAGATTAAAAGAAGACTGAACCCCAGCAGGGAAACTCCAAGCCTGTGCCATGTCTGATGTCAGAGGGCTTAAGTGGCTCCACCCTTTCAGCTTTGCTGACTCTAATACTCCTTTCTCTCTCTCTCTCTCTCTCTCTCTCTCTCTCTCTCTCTCTCTCTCTCTCTTGCTGGTTCCATTCACTCTCTGCAGCTCTCCTTGGCAGATGTCTCACAGCTCTGGCATCTCCAACATCCTGGGGTCTCTAACACAATCCAGGCTTCACTTTTACAACTTCACACAATGGCCTCTCAAGGCCTCTTGCCCTCAGAGGGCCTTCGTTCAGGGACTGCCCAGACATACATTGCAAGGCCTCAGCAATTCTCCTTAACCAAGGAGGAAAATTCCGCAATCCAATTTCTTATATGTCTTTCGTTTGTCTACAGGCAGACATGGAGGACATGCCTTGCCTGGGATGAGCCTGGCCCCTTTGACTCACATTTGCAGCAGCTCTCCTTTGTTGTTGCCTTTTGGGAGCAGAAAAATTCCTTTT